TGACATAGCTGAGAGCCAACACCGCCTGCTTATGGAGCGGCTGTCCTCACAGCCGGGCCAACTCGCCCGCCTACACGTCATCCCGCTTGGGGTTGCTGGGGGGATGCACCAGGCGCTTGACCCGACATTGCTGCAGCTGCGAGTGGAGCGGAAGGACCTAGCCCGCATGCGCCGCGACCTGCATGGCAGCGCCTTGTGCCACACCGACCCACCGGGTCGTTATAGCTCGCAGGGCGCTTGAGGGGTCTGGGCGGAAGCGGCGCCGGCCAGGGACACATGCGGTGGCCAAGAGGAGGCAGCGACGGGAACCAGACCCCCATGCTGGATCGCGAACATCCGCGCGGGTCCCACCTCTGTCCGCTCAAAGTCATAGACGAAAAGTGTGTGCGCGGCGACACCGAAAGGGGCAGCCCAAGGGCGTCACCGGAGGGTCCCTAAGCGCCCAGTGGGGGGCCCCAGGTCCCCCACACCGGTGGGGCAGCGGGGGAACGGGCAGTTGCCCTGACCCCGCGCCCGTCCTTAAAACATACTGGGTGCCCAGCGCCCGGTCCACTCTACTCTACTCTACCCGTCGCTGGCTTATGCGCTGCAGCAGAGGACACTGCTGCTACCACTTGCTGTAACCATTGTCGCCTGGACAACGCTTTGCGCTGGCACTGCGAGATGTGGCGCACTCGCAAGCTTGGGACACTCACACCCAGTTGATGCAGTGGGTGATCCAGTGCCAGGTCAAGGGGCCAGGAGGTGGGCGCGCTTGAGCAGGGGCAAACCTGCGAGGTTTATCACCGGGTGGGCGTGAGTTGCAGGTGGTAAAAAGAGACTCGTCACTTGTTATCAGCACATCATCACAACCTTGCCACCACGCTGCCGGCGCATCCCGACCCTCCCAAGATTCACACCATAACACGTCGTCACCATGCCGAAGCACACGCACGTGTGGATCCTGCATAGCCCCTGTTGGCCCCATGGATTATGATGTTGACTTCCTCCATCGTCTGGGGCCCCTTTCCATTTCCACCTCCCCTTCGCCGGCCTTCGATTTAGTCACCTGGCAACTGGAATTCTCGCACCGACCTTGCGCTGGCGTGTAATCGGCAGCCAGCAAAACCATCCTCCTTTTTCTAAGGCATACGGTTTGGTATCGTGATGCTGCACGTAGTCACAAAGATGTTGAGATCCAACTGCAATCGCTGCTGCACAGGATGATCAGGAGTGGGTACACCTGTGCTTGTGCTGTCGCGCCCAGCCACTAGCCGCATTGTTTCAATTTGCTTGAGGCATTGCTAGGCATGGTACTTTTAGAGGGCGCCGGCATGGTAGATTTCTACCAGTGCTTCCCCGTTTGGCATTCATCCTGCCTCTACTTACATGGCATAGCAACAGCGTGGGAAGCTCATTGGGGTGGCTGGTGTAGCGGCCTACCTGTCGGTGCACAGGTTTATAAATGTCAGGCCTTCTTTGCAGCGCTCATGCATACAAGATGGGCAGTACTCACCTGTGGTACCACAAAAGGCTATGGTATCATACTCCAAACGGTGCGAGGCCGTGTTCCATCAGAAATCTGTATGGTACCCCCCCTTGCAATGAGGTGCCACACGAGGCTGGTGACGACCCCCTCATGCGTGCTGATTCGCTGACACTCGGTGGGCTCGCTGAAACATCATGCAGTTGCCATATCATAACGCATCTGTTTTTAGGTCCCGTACCCACGATCTTGGCGGATCGCAAGCTGCTTTGACTGCTATCAGATCGTTCACTGGATGACGGTGACCGTAAAGATCTTTACATCTGTAAACCTGTCATTTGCAGCAGTCCCTGGCTTCCCTGCACCCGCAGTAGCATCTTCGACACATTTGAATTTAGCAAGCTCTCTCCTTTGAACATCAAAGCTATATAAAATAAGAAGGATCGGATGCCCAAGTGTGTTTGTAGAAGCCTATAGGCGTTTAGGCCCCTCCCACCCGAGCCGGTGCTGCAGTGCGCAAGTGCCCGCGCGTCGGCGCACCCGTTCCCAGCGGCGGAGGCACTGCGGCGCCGCCGCCCGAGCTACACGAGCCCGCTGATTGGCACCCCAGCTCGCCGCTGTCCTGTCGCCAGGACAGTGGCGCCAGCGACAGCGGCCACATGCCGCCGTCGCCGGGACGCGCGGCCGCGCTGACCAGCGAGCTGCGCGCCGAGGTGGAGCGCCGCCTGGCCGCCAGCGCACCCGCTGGCGCGCGCCTCGGCGCACTGGAGCGCCGCGCCGCGGCCGCAAAGCCTGGCGCGCTGGGCCGCGGCGGCAGGGGGTGGGACGCCGATGAGGCGTTCCGTGGCGCTGCTGACGCAGCGCACGGCGGCGGCGCGTCCGGCCGCCTGGCGGACATATTTGACGAGCTGCTTGCATCCGACCAGGCGCGCCGAATGGCGGCGATCGTAGAGGAGGGCGCTCAGCGCGACAGGGAGCTCGCGCTCGCCCGCGAGGCGGCCGAGAAGGCAGCGCGCGACGCCGACCGCGCGGCGCGCGACGCGGCCGCCGCGCGCGAGCAGCGCGACGCGGCGCAGGCGGCCGCCGCG